GCTTTAAGTTCATCATCCCTTCCTTTCTCATTTTCATTTCATTCACCTCTTTTTAACTCTTTGACTCGTTTGGTATGTGGGATGAGATAGCAATATCATATATATATTAATTGTTTTAATAACAATTTAATTTATAGTATGGGTACAATCGGAATTTAATTTTAATTCTTTTGGTTCCGATATATATATATATATAGATAGATAGATAGATATAGGAATCAAAAGAATTAAAAGTTTGAATTACAGTTGTACCTATACTATAAATTAAATTGTTATTAAAATAAGAATGTAACAAAATTATAACATAAAAATAATCACCAAGCCGGTTAATAAACTTAATTAAATTAATCTTTGTTTATAGTAAAAAGAAAACAAAACAAAAAGATTATATTGGTGATGGAAACAAAGTCATAGGAATCCAAATTATTAGAAGATGAAACAAGTAAAACAAGACAAATTTGTTAAAAGCAATATAACTAGGAAAATGGAGCCAAATATCTTTTTCTATGCTTTATTGTAAATTATTTACTAAATTATAAAATAAGGAATAAGGTTTGCAACTTCTAGTGGAGTAGTTCATGACTCGGTTATTTTCTATTCGACGTTCAGTATTTATATAATAATCTAATTGAGCTTGAAAATATATTAAAACGTCTTCTGTTAAGAGTAAGATACTCCTTATTAAGAATAATTTTATACAAATCAAATATGAAATTTCAACTCATGATTTCACCAGAACAGTTGGTGATCATTTGTTTCCTTTAATTCGTCTTATCAATGGCAAAATTAAAAAGGGCTCGAAAAAAAAAATGTAGTGTCCCCACTGATCCAATCTCAAATTTTCTATACGTAAATTTAGTTTTTCATCAAGAGGCTTCAAGTGAAAAATCAATGGCAGAATTAAAAGGGCTCGAAAAATAAAATGTAGTGTCTCCACTGAGCCAATCTCAAATTTTCTATACGTAAATTTAGTTTTTCATCAAGAGGCTTCGAGCGAAAATCCTCGCCCTCTTCTAAATATGCCCGTTGCTTATTATCATCATGATAAAGATCTCTTCATTCTTGATTAGAGGGGAAATTTGAGCCTTAATATAAAAGTGTAGTTCGAAAGCATTTTTCTTGTTAAATGAATCTTATGTATCACAAAATTGAATTAATCAGACTTTCAATATAGACACTGAACATCGAATCGGAAGTTCGAAAAAATAATAGTGAAGTGCACGTGACTAATGAAAGCATGTCACGTGCACACATGTAGACCCAAAACATTGAAGGTTGTGATATCATTTTCTGCCAGAAATTAAATACAAAAAATGCCTTGATGATTAGACAAACCTTCTGGTGAGTCCACGTGGCAGTTATTTGTGGTATACAAATAATTATTTTTAATTTATTAGAGTTAATACTTTTTTATTTTTATATGTCTTGATAGTGAAAGTAGTAGAGTATTTATAATTTACTATATGTTTATTTACTTTTAATTAGAGATATTTATTTTGAGTATCGAATTTCAGTTTTGAAAATAAAGTTACCATTGCAAGGGAGAAGATTTACAATTTTTTGAGCGTCAATCTCAATAAAAAAAGTTATAAAGTTGATTCAAGAAATGATTAAAATTCGTTATTTTTTATTCACTTATAATTATATACTGAATTTTGAATCCAAAATATTTCTAAATTATAAAAGTGTCATTAAAAAAAAGTAAAGATTTCTTTTTTTAAAAAAAACATATGGTTTTAGGTATGTTTTTAATTCTGAAAAAATGGAAGGAGATTAAATATATGTTTTAATGATTATTAATATCTTCACATGAATCAATGATTAGAAAATAATTTTGAATATAAAAATATAAACATAGACAAATAATGCACTCTGCAGACCAAAATTAGTAGGCACATAATGATCATTAGCTATAATTTTTATAGGTTTTCATGAACCTTTTTTTGGCTAATTCTATTTAATTAATTAATGTCTACTTAAGTACTATTCTCTTTGCTTTTTCAGGAAGTTCAATATTTCTGGTATTTTATGAAAATTATCTGATATTTAAAATTTACAAACTCGAAAAATTTATCATTTTTTTATTCTTAATTCAAACTGTAATCTCTTGAAAAGATTGTGTTTTTCTCGTCATATAATCAAATATTTATTTATTTATTTTATTATATTATTATTATTATTTTCATTTTATCATGTATTTATTGATACTTTAATTTTCTCCTTTCTAAAAAAAAAGTCTAGAATCCAAGACTCAAAGTTTGCTTTTATGATTTAGATTGACAAATTCTATCATAAAATTAGGGTCAAAAGTATGATTTTTTTTTCTTTCTAAAAGCAAAAGTGTTTGCTTTATTTTGAATGTCTAGAAGTAAAAAAAAAAAAGTTTTTTTTTTTCATTTTGAAGTAAAAAAGTGTATTTTCTTTTCATATAGAAAAAGTTTTACTGCAAAGTGATAATCTTTTTTGCTCAAGTCATTGTCAAATATGCAAAATAATAAGTATAATAAAGAAAACTATTAATTGATATACACATGCACATTAATTGGACCTTATACCATAGTGTACTATAATGTCATGATTATTATTTTTGGTGTAAAGATAAAATTATTTTTCGTCTAATTTATAAGTCTTGAATTTAATTGTGCTATCGATTTGTTAATTCTCGTTCGTTGTGTATATGCTAAAAATACTCTATACATAAAAGTTAATTAACCTTTTCAATATTATGTTGTATTTTTCGCATAACATTGATCAATCTTATTACGTCACATCAGCTCGATCAACGATCAAAGGAATTTAAAACAAAAATTAAAATTTATGATTGAAAATTGGTAAAGTTGGAGATAAAAAATAGATAGTCATGTAAATATAAATTTCCATTTAGATATTAAATCAAAGTTTACAGTCTTTATTAACGATGAAAAAGTATTTATCAGCTCGATCACCACAATCCCGCTGATATTGTCAATTTGTTGATAAAAAATATTGAGATAAAAAGAGTAAGATCCAAACTTTATAGCATGTGGAGGTTTGACAAACTCACAACTTTTAGGGGGTGGAGTGGTTGATTTAATAAGTTTTAAATTTCAATAAAAAATATTCTATCTAAAAAAAGTAGTTATGGGATACTAAAGGACTTTGAATATAAAATATTTTAAAATTTTCCTACCTGGAATTCCATTTGGTTTATATTATATTTAAATTTAAATTAAAGTATCATTGACCCTTTAAGTTTAATTAATTAAATATACATTTGTATATACTTTATTATTTCATTGCACCACTTGCCACTTAATTTAACATAAACACTTCTTTATTTTTACGACTCAAACTCGAATGTTTGGTTGAAGATTCAAAAATTAAGTCCATATCGCTAAATCGTATGATAATTTTAGATATGGTAGTTAATGATCGTGAAACTATTAATAAATATTATCGATACTGTAAAATATTATCATAAAAAAGTTTTATATCACATTCAATTTATCATTAATGTTACTAATGAAAAATTGTTGTTTCTCTATGAAATGCATAAAAATAAATTTATTAACAAGTCAAATTCATTCATAATAAATTAGCGATTTTCTGATCACAAATAAATTCAATACGTGTGTTTTCTGTATAATATTTATTTCTTAATTATACATAATTAATGACATAATTTTATTTTAATTTATTGCTTAATTTTATGATATATGTATGATTTAATTAATGTATTTATCAAACAAAAAAACAATCATTATATTAATTGTATCTTTAATATATAACAAAAGTACCTTTCTATTTGCCCTTAATTACTTTTAGATTTTAATTTTTATAAGTTGATTTAAATTTCAATAAATTTTAAATTCCATATTTTATGAACTTTACATCAAAGTTTAATGGGTCAACTTCAATAATCATTCTCCACTATTTGTCATCATTATAATTTCATTAGTTTGAGAAAAAAGATGTTTTTTAGTTCATTATTCCTTTTTATTAAGTTTTACTTTTTCTCTTTTTATTTTTTTTTCCTTTTTTAATTTTGTCTACACATTTTTTTTGGGGTGGTGGTGATGGGGGTGGGGTGAGGGGAAATGACATCTCACCTAAATATGTAAGTTGAATATAATTTTAAATTATCAAAATACGATTATAATAAAGTGATATATATTATTTCATTTTTAAATATCGAGCTTTGTTACAATATCGTTTTAGTTAAAAAACGTTTTAGGTAAACAATTACATTGTTCGAGTTCAAAATTTGAAAATAAATTTATTTATTTAAAGTGTTTTTAAAAAAAAACACATTTTTATAACTTTTTTTGGTATATTCACTTTCTTCTCACCCTTCAATTAAAGATCCAGCATGTAGAACACCGCGATCATTATATATTCACGAATTAGTGAATTTAGATTAGTCGAACATTAGAAAAATATCAAATATAAATGTACTTGGTTTAACCAAGTGATCCCACTAAATAGTACTTTTTTCGTTTCTTTTTAGTTGTCATAATTTTTTTTTGAGAGTTAAACAATATAAATTTTGACTAGCATTTTATGATATATTTTTTTATCATATTAATATGAAAAAAGTTACAATTTATAGTGCTTTCCGTATAATTTTTGATATCTAAAATTTTATTTTAAAATATCAAATTAATATAATCTAATTTATCTTAGAAAATTAATCAAATTGACTCTCGAAAATTGCAACATGACAACTATAAAGAAACTAAAAGAGTATTAATTTTCTCAAATTAAAATAAGGTGAAAATATATATTAATTAATTAATCATAATCAAAGTGATAACAATTTACTAACCAACACATATTATTACATTTATTAAACATCGACTGTGGATAAGTTTTTACTTCGAACACCAAATACTAAAAAAAAATCATAATATTATAATGACCATTTTGCCCTTCCTATTTTTCCTCCCTCCTCACCCAAAGTTTTATCCTTCTCACCTCTCCCTTTTTGCTTCACATGCACTCATATTTTCATTAAATACTTTTGAGAACCAAGACAAATAAGAGCTCATAAGATTAGATTTTAGGTATCTTCCGCTCTCCTCAACCCCACCACATATAAATATTTTTTGTTCAGTATCTGATGTTTATATTAAAGTTTGATTAAATTTAGATTCACACGTTTAACATTCATTTCTAGGGGCGACAGTTTTAACATTTATAATCTTTTTTCATTTTCAGGGTAAAATCGAGATCTCTGATTAAGAATGAAGGATTGAAGATTTTAGGTATCTTCCACTCTCCTCAACCCCACCACATACACATATTTTTCATTCAGTATCTGATATTTATATTAAAGTTCGATAAAATTTGGACTCACGCGTTTAACATTCATTTTTAGGGGCGATATTTTTAACGTTTATGATCTTTTTTTATTTTCAGGATAAAATCGAGATCTTTGATTAAGAATGAAGGATGTCAATCATCCCACGATAACTCATATCGATTAAAAAATAATAAGAGAGAAGAAAGAAGCATGTGTTCTCTTGTGTCCCTCTCTTTTTTGGTCCTCCAAAATTCTTTCACCATCATATCACATATTCTATCATGTATTCCTCAAAAAAGAAATTTATTTTTTTAAAAAAAATAAAAGAAAAAAACTCAAAATCCAAAAATTTGAATCCAAGAATGTAGATAGATGTAAAAAAAAGAAAAAAAAAAGAAAGAAAAATTATAATATTATTAGTTATTTTGCTATCTTTTTTTTTGCTTCTCCACTAATGGCAATTACCGCAAGTGCTGCAAAATCAACACAAAAAGAATAAATTAAAATTTAAGTGACATTTATATTTTGTTTCTATTTTTTTTAGAAATTACTTTTTCGAATAATGTTAAATTGGATTGTAATATTTATTTATATATTTTTTAATCTTATAAAATGTATATTATCGTCTAATCTTTATTGTTTGCAATATCAATAACAATGAAATTATATAAGTGAAATAAGAAAAAGTGATGTATATAGAGTATTATTCCTAACTTGTGAAGACTCGAAATTCGTTTGCGATAGATCATTCATAATATTAATGAAGAGAAATCATAATTTAATAAATTTAAGATCATAGTCTAACGCTAATTTTTAGTTTGATCAAAAAAGACATTTCGATCAGGATCTAGTTTTTGAAATCTGAATTAGTCGGAATTTTAAAACGAGTACGACTCAGCGAATGAAAAATAACAAAAATCCTCACAAAATATTCAAAATGACCATTTTGCCCCTCTTTTTTTTTATTTCCTCGCCTCTCCCTCTTTTCTTCGTATTTACTTGTATTTTTAAATATCGAACATCGAATAAGAAATCAAACAAAAATCCTCATAAGATTTTCAAAATGACCATTTTACCCCTCCTATTTTTTTTTTGTTTCCTCACCTCTCCCTCTTTGCTTCACATGCACTCATATTCCCATTAAATACTCTTAAGAACCAAGACAAAATAGCCTCTTCCCACTCCCCACCCACTCCCTTAACTCCCCCTACCCCCCACCCACCCAAAACCAAACCCCACAAAAACAAACCCCTCTTGTTCTCTTCTACCCCACCCCCCACCCCCCACCCCCTCCTCTTTTTAGTCCTCCAAAATTCCTTTCACTAGATATCATACAATCCATCATAAAAAAAAAACCCCTAAAAAAACCAACCATTGAATTCCAAGAATGTAGATATACATAACACCACAAAACACACACAAAAAAAAAAAAAACACTAGTAAATTTTTTTTCTTTCATTTTTCACTAATGGCAAGTGCTACTACATCATCATCAACAAATAAAATTCAAGAATATGATGAGGTTACAAGTTACAAAAACAAGAATTGTGAAGTTTTTGTTAATAGACAAGAAATTAAAGATGCAATTGCTAAAGCAATTGAATTAAGAGCTTTACATGCTGCCCTTTTACAACAACAACAAGGGAATAGTCCTATGAAGAAGTTCCCTTCTTCTGCTTCTCCAACTCTTTCACTTCATTCTCACCATTTTTCTTCTCAAGATTATCCTATTTTCACACCAGTAAGTCCTCCTCCTTGTTGGCTTTAAGTTTAGTTTTTGACGAGAGACGGATTCAGAATTTAAAGATTATCTTTAAAGATATTGACTTTGATGTGTTAGTGTATTCACCACATTTTTTAGACTTCACTTGTAATATTACGTTGTCTTATATTCTTCTTATCGTAAAGATTCGATCTTCAAAAGATATTGACTTTTTGATATATTTTACTTGAGTCGATGTGTGTTTGAAACAAGACTCTACCTAGGGGTATGACTGTATACATAACTATTTTTGGACCCCATTTATGAGATTAGACCGATTATGATGTTTTTGTTGTAAAGATTTCACCTTTAATGATATTAATTTTAATATGTTTTATTAGAGTGTACATGTATTATTTGTGCTCTATGATGTTATTTTTGTAGGATTTTAACTTTTAAACATATTGATTTTGATATGTTTTATCTCGTTTTGTACATATGATTTTTTTTTTGTAAGATTTTAACTTTTAAATATATTGATTTTGATATGTTTTACTTGAGTCGAGGTGTATACGTAATATGCTTTGTACCTGGAGGTAAGACTTTTTCTTTTTTGTAAATTCTCATGATTTTTTTTTTCTTTTTTGGTACAAATTGCATTTTTTATCTGATTTATGAAAATATATTATGTGTTTGCCAAATATTAAATAATCTTGACTTCAAGCTTAGACAAATCTTATGTAGATATTGCTTCTAAATGAAGGAATTAAATGTCAAACCTGAAATAAATATGATATAATTAATAATTCATGTATTTAATGTATATATTGCACAATACTACTTTTTATAACTATATAATAGTAAAATTAATAATTGTTATAGTGAGTAAAGTTTAGTTAATTTGATGTGACAATAGTAGTTTTAGGACTTTATTGTTATATTAGATAAAGTTTAGTGACTTTTACTCTTATAGTGAACTTTGGTTATTTTAACAAGACAAAAATTAATTTTGTGACTTACTTTATACAGATAGAGATCAGTGATTATACGTGAAATTAACACCAAATTACGTAGTACCAAAACAAGTTAGCCACTCTTGTTTTCACTTGAGATCAAGATTTATTGTGATTTACGTTGCTCAGACTTTCTAAAAATGCTACAACGCCATTGTCGGATCCTTCAAACTCTTAAAAAAAGTCATCAGGTGCATGGCTGACTTGAAGAGTTTAAAGGATCCAATGGGAGTTTTGCAACATTTTTGGAGAGTACGAGCATCATAACATAGGTTTTTATAGCTTCTATAGGTCGAAATCTCGATTTTCGTTTTTTTCATTTTTAATGATCTTTGAATCAACATTAATATTCATCAAGACTAGTTATGATCTATGTTGCTCATACTCTTCAAAAAGAAGTCGATGGCCACGTGTCGTAACCTCCAAAAAGGTGCTTTTCTTTTGAAAGATACGACAAGTGTTTGCAACATTTCTGGAGAGTCCGAGCAACATAGGTTATGATCACTTCATTTTTGATGATCTTTGAATCAACATTTTGTGTGCAGAGCTATGAAGATGAACCATTGCCAGGATACAAACAACTACACTTAGATCACAATCCAAACTATGCTGAAGTTTGGGATGAATATGGAGTAGTAAATGGTAACAATGAATCCGTTTTATCGGATTACAGAAAGGCGAATTCGACCTTCAAAAATGGATTTACTAACAGTCTGATCAACTTAGAACCCCACATGTGTCCAGCTGATGATCAGAGATCGGTCACGAGCTCGTGTACTGATCATGTCACTACGCGTAAAGCCTCTCCCATCGCTCGTTACATCAAGTCTCGGAGAAACTCATTAGGGGACTTGAACTCTATCTCATCTTGCAACAAGTGTAAGCCTGCAACAATTAGTACTGAGGTTGATGGTGGTGGTAGTAGTACTAGCAAGAGTGGTAAGAACTCGAATGTCATCGTGCCATTGACGGACTCACATGTTTCTGTTCAATCGCAGCCAAAGAGTAAAGGCGGGATGAACTTGTCGTGGCTGTTCCCTAAGCTAAAGAAGAAAAACAAGGTTGAGATTTCACCAAACCGAACAGATCAATCCGATGAGGTTTTAAAGGATCACCATATAGGGATGGTTTCAATCGAGACGTTGAAGAAAGAGCTAATGGAAGCAAACGAGAGCAGAGATGCAGCGTTGATTGAAGTCTCGGGAATGAAGTCGTCTTTAGGTGAGCTAAAGCAAAAGTTAGAGTACTTAGAAACTTACTGTGAAGAGCTGAAAAAGGCCTTAAGGCAAGCAATTCAAGCTACAGAGTCCCCTGTATCCTCCAACAAGCTAAGAACTTTTCCTAATGGAAAATCCATCGATGGGGACGGAGAAAATGTGATCCCGGTTAATGATGAGGTAATGCTAGAAGGGTTCTTACAGATGGTATCGGAGTCAAGATTATCGGTGAAACAGTTCAGCAAGACTCTAATAGGACAGATTGAAGCAACAGACAATTTGTTAACCGATAACTTGAACCTTTTGCTTCAACCTTACAAGCTATCTCTCAACTCGAAGTACTCGAAAGCAGTACTATACCACATTGAATCCATCATAAACCAATCACTTTTTCAAGACTTCGAAAACTGTGTGTTCCAAAAGAATGGCTCAGCAAAACACTTAGACCCTCAACAAGATCGCCACGCTCAGTTCTCATCATTTGTCGCGCTGAGGAACCTAAGTTGGAACGAGGTGTTGAGGAAAGGTACAAAGTACTATAGTGAAGAGTTCAGTAAGTTCTGTGATCAGAAAATGAGTTGCATTATCGCAACGCTTAATTGGACAAGACCATGGCCTGAACAACTCCTCCAAGCGTTCTTCGTTGCTGCTAAGTGCATCTGGTTGCTGCATTTGTTAGCCTTTTCGTTCAATCCTTCCCTCGGGATTCTACGAGTGGAAGAGAATAGAACTTTCGATATGCATTACATGGAGGACGTCTTCGCGGATAGGCAAAGATCACAAGGTCCTAGCAAGGTTAAGGTCATGGTTATGCCTGGTTTTTATGTGCATGATAGAGTACTTAGGTGTAAGGTTATATGCAGGTACAAAAATGTATCATAGTTAGGGTTTCTCTTTTCTCATTTTTCTTGTTTAGTAATCTAACTTGTAATAGTGTTCTCTTGTTGATTATTTGATTTGAGTGAGTTCTATAAACTAGTTGCCATATATATTGTGATCAAATAAACTCGTAAGTCGTAAGGGTGACTGAGTTGGTGCAACGTGTGGTATCTCACAAGGGAGGTGGATCAATGTCTTCTCGGTCGAGCTCGTCATAATAAGCTTGCCTAATACAGGTTATATCCTTCTATGTGGTTTGCAAGTTACTGCACAAGAGTAGGTTTTCGAGTGCGCATCCAAAGGGTAGTGACTGTAATTTTATTTTTTTAAATAAAAACTTTCATCAAATAATATATGACAAATAATTATGGGAAACTTACATAAATATACTATAATTAAAAAATATTTACCATTTATAACAATAATATTTTTTTTCACTTGACCACTTTTAATGTGGATAATACAGTTATCATAAATTTTAATACACTTATAATACAATGTGGCAATTTTTTACCAAACAAACATAGTATATTGTAAAAACAATTATAATTCAAATATATTGCATACATAAGTCACTTTTAGTACATATTACAGATTTATTACATTATTGCTATAAATGATAATAAATAAAAAATATCGCTAAAATCAGTAATTATTTTTTAAAATGTATTAATTTATGGAATTTTTCCAATAATTATTGAAGAAAATTATGTTAGTGGGCCAGAAAGTGAAATCTTTTGGGCTAATTGTTTAGTAAATAATCTTTTTATTTTCGTTGCAACTTATGAACTTTTTAGATCATGGTCTAAAAGATCTTTTTTGGACAAACTAAAATCTTGTGAGAAAACGTTCGATTATAATCTAAAACTTCGTAATTTTGCAAAACATACATGATAATGTAATGTTTTATTTAAGGCTGGTCAATACACGAGCAAATATTATATCAGAGTCTAACGTTATATGGAAGAATAATTTCTCTAAGGGTTATATTCGCAGAACTTTTATTTAAGAGAAAAGAAACAAAAATTAAATGATGAAGTAAATCTTACTTGAATGGAATACACACCTAAGTGGTTGAATTTACTTATAATTTATAGAGGTTAAAAGACTCAAATCTGTCGTCAATTTTTTTTAAAAAAGTTCATTTATAATATTCATTAAAAGTTTAACTCACCTATGCTATTTTCGCGGCATGGATGAGCCTTTTTTCGGAAGTCGAGAATATATTTGAGCATTTTCTCTTTCATAAAAATAATGATCTAATTAATGACATGCCTGAATCATAATCGATCACGTATATAAAATGATTCTGAAAAATGAAATTATTTTTAATTAACAAATAATGATATGAATCAACATTTTCTCAAATAAAAATTATATAAATAAGTCAATCTTTTAACAAAAAAATTCAATAAAAGATGAACTACAAGCTATTAAATATTTATAATATTGAATGGATTATTTCTTAATACATGTAAAATATCTATTTAAAAAAAAAGCCTTTTATATTATACATATGTTGTTATTCGAATGATTAAAAAAAAAAAGAAATACAACCAAATATTATAATGAAATAATAAGTATACGTTTATCTTTAAATAGAGATTTAAATTTTAAGTTTATCTTTTTTTAATAGGCTAAATACTTATAAAATAGATTTTTTTTAATCTTAAAATGAATATAAAAAATTAATCAAATCTAGCCAATGATGTATGATAGATATTGATAGTACTTGTATAACAATTGGTCCATACATGTCCAAGTTCATGAATCATGAGTCCCAATAATTATTGTATACGTGTATCATTGAAAACTACTCAACTTGCAAAAAAAAATAAAAAAAATACCAAATTATAATAATAATAATTAGGACTCGTATTTTATACGTGAGATAAAAAATAATAATTAACCCAACAGATAATTAATCGTAATCTAAAATGTTCTTAAACTATAAAAAAGAAGCAAATTCATGCACTACATAATTAACCCACCACATGGATTAATTATGAAATTTGCATAAGGTTGACATGCACGATTTAATCTGATTTCATATCGCACGCTATTTGCTAGTGAAAACTTTAAAGTTATGTAGTAATATTTTTTTTGGAATTTTCACAATTCAGATTGTTTTAATTTTGCTCGTTATTTACATTAAAATCAATTTTATTTTCTTTACCTTTCTTTTTTATCAATATCTTTTTTTTTTCAAGTTATAATTTATTTTATCAAAATTTGGTTTTGGATATTTTTATGAAAATTTATAATAATAAAAAAAATTGGGAAAAAGGAAATATACATCCGAACTATCGTAAATGATATTCAGATACCCTCCGTCGTACTTTTGAGACATAGTTTCTCCTATCATTCAAAACTAGAACATATATACCCTTTATACTAACAAACATACGTGTGTCATAATCTTATCCACCGATTTGACATCGGATCGATGAATAAGATTGCACCACGTGTCCCTATTTGATCTTTTGTTAGAGTGAAGAACATATACGCTCTAATTTTTGAACGACAGAACCACCAATGTCATGAAAGTAATCTGCATACCATTTACGATAATTCGGATTATATTTGTCCTTTTTCTCTAAGTATACTAATGATGGTTACTATACAATAAATAATATCTTAGATACTCTTTTAGATATTTCCAATCAATCCAATGCACTTTTTTCCCATATTTAAAGGACCCAAAAAGCAAAAGCAAAAATATCTTCTTTACTCATCGAACCTTCTAGAACACAACTGCATATCCACTATGTCAACGTCAGCAGCCGACGCCGTGGCCGGAGAAATCACCGGTACCGACGACGGTGTTCTAGAAACTCCATTCCTTGACTCGGAACGTTGGAACATCCTCCAGAGTGTAACGGAGGAAGGAGGCTACGCATACGCAACCATGACGTCGCTCGCGGCGGCCGGAGATATACGAGCGGCGGAGGCGGCGAAAGAGATGGCGTGGGAACAGTTACATTCAGGTCCATGGCATTCGGTTGTTCCTATATGGAGAGATGCGTATTCAATGGCGTGTATGCATTTGGCGAAACTTCATTATGCTAATGGTGAGTTTAATGAAGCGATTAAAGCTTTAGATATGGGGATTATTATGGGAGGAATGATGCTTAGGGATGAATTGAACCTCGCGATTCGAAAGGCGTCGGAGAAGGAGAAAGCGAAGAGTGATCTCGGAGAAAAAGGTGAATCAGAGATTAAATTTGTTTCTCAAGAAATTAACGTGGCGGAGGTGAGGTTCGTCCCTCGCAATTTACGATTTGTTGTATTGTTCAGCTTTCTATTAAGTATTAAGCTTTGTTTGAACAAAAAAGATGTTTAAGTATTAAGCTTTGTTTGAACAAAAAAGATGTGATTTTGATAGTAATCATTCAATCATTTGTTTGTCTGGAGTTGACTTGAAATGATATCAAAATGTCACTTAAATCTTGTGGTCGTAAACGTTTTGAAAGCTAAAATTAAAAGGTTCGCCAACAAAGAAAAGAGGCAAGGAAGTAAGGATTATGATACTAATACTTCACCAAAAAAGGATTATGCTACTTATGGTTTTGAATGTCATTTATGTGTGCTTATAAAAGGTTAATGGTATATACTTCAGCATTTTTTTGAGTTAAATTGTTTGAAAATGTAGAAAAGATCATTCTTTTTGGAACTGAACAAAATGTTGGAAGGGAGAGTGATTTGTTCTTTTGATAATTGAGAAATCTTCGAGTGCCAGTAGGCCATGGTTTAAATTTTGGTGGACAGATTTTAGTTAATATGTGATGTGTGCGGTGTGCCTAATCCACACATCACAAACTGAGCTCTTACCACTAGACGAAAGCCCGTGGAATGGGGGATGAAATTGTGACTATCATTAGTCTTTTTACAATTTACTGAACTTGAGAAATGTAAATAGTTTTGATCAAGTCAGTGTTAATCCCCCTCTTCATGTTTTGTGCTATGTGGTATGAAATGAAAGAACAACTGTTGAGCGGTGAAGGAAGTACGTAGATTCTTTCCTTGCTTAAGCTTAGGAATAAACACAATCAGGAACTTTGGGTTTGTTAATCTACTTTCGGAGTCTTTTTTGGTCAAGGAATCTACTATCTGAATCTTACTAGCGAGATGTTCTAAATCTAGAAATGTTTTATAGTTTTACATCCATTTTAGCTAATTGTAGGATAAAGCATCCATTTCTGGAATCCTGTTTGCATTTTCTAGGTGAGGTCATCAGTGAGTGCCTCTAAGCTTTCACATAGTTGAGGTGGTCTAGCATTTACTTGAGTGCTAATTGTGTGTTTGAGATGAGAAGTGTGGTTATTTATCTTTTGTTTTGACTTTGCAGGTGCAGCAGTCGCTACCTATTAAGTCTCTGTCTTGTAAGTTAGTAGGGAAAAGGCCAGCCTTATCGTTGGAGGCATTTCTGAGAGAGCATTATTTATCAGGAACTCCGGTGGTAATCAGAGATTCCATGGATCACTGGCCTGCTAAGAGTAGGTGGAATGACATGAATTATCTTAGAAGGGTTGCTGGCTTCCGTACAGTCCCGGTTGAGGTGATTACATTTACAACTGAACTCAATAACTGTTGCATATTCCAACATTAAATTGATCGGCAGATTTATAACCTTATCTAGAAGATAAGTCTTTTTAAAGCAAATGACAGGAATGCAAGTCCCTTCTTCTTGAAATTTGTAAAGAGAATGTATACATATAGCATGTGCAAAGAGAACCAACGAGCTCAGGGCTTAGTTTTCACAATATTGTTACCGAGTCCAAACTTATAGCTAGCTTTCCATGTTCTGAGTGGAATAGATATAAGTGCTATGTATTAAAAAGGTGTCTCTTGTGTGCTATGTCAGATCTAATGCAATCAATGTGTGAATTAATTCCGACCTGGTTATTCTACCCTTCACTCAAAACTTGATATCGACTTGAATCATCTTCCAGGTCGGAAAGAACTATTTGTGCCCAGAATGGAAGCAAGAGCTGATCACTTTTTCTGAATTTCTTGAGAGGATACGGTCCAATGATACTACCTCTGTGGAAACTACGTACTTAGCTCAGCATCAATTATTTGATCAGGTGTAATTTCTTCTGTACATTTATTTCTGTATATTTGTGTAAACAATTTTACCTTGAACTTATATTTTTGGAATTAGTGGCTTAGCTCTGTAGCTAAATGACAGATACAAGAGCTACAACAAGATATTGTTATTCCTGATTATTGTTTTACTGGAGGTGGGGAAATTAGGTCGCTTAATGCTTGGTTTGGTCCAGCCGGGACTGTGACGCCTTTGCATCATGATCCGCACCATAACATACTTGCTCAGGTACGTATTTTTACTATAAGCTTCCTGAGCTTAACAAAAAGTAAATCAGGTTGAACCATAGGTGATTGCTTTGATTGATTATCTTTAGGGGGAAAAATTACTGTAACTGTGTGCATGTTGATATGTTTCATTTTTATTTCTTGTGATCTTCTGCATTTCAATTACAGGTTGTTGGCAAAAAGTATGTACGGCTTTACTCTGCATCACTTTCGGATGAGCTTCACCCACATAGTGAAACCATGCTTAGTAATTCCAGCCAGGTATATGCTTCTCCTTTATTTAAATTGCATTTCAACAGAATTGTCATTTCAACGGTCTGTTATTCAGTATTTTTAACCTTAGTTAGTTGTTGCCAACTCCAGTTATGCTGTTGTCTTTGTTTTACTCGGCATAGTATTTAAAAGAAATTTTGAAAACGTTAGCTGTTAGTTGTTAGTAGTAAGTACTACTCCTTGTGTGTTGTGTGTTTTATGATGGTATTTGGCTAGACGTGGAGTTTTAAGATGTTTATTTGAGTGGCATATCAGAAAGAATAGATTAGTGATGGTTGAAAAGTTCATATTAAAATTTGTGCGAGTTTATATACTACTAATTCTTCCTAAAAAGCTGTAGATCTTACATAGAGATGGCACTGTAACAAGCATTTTACAATGTTCCAACGTAGAAAATGTCATCAATTGGAAAACACGAGCTGATCCAACCTATTGCCTCTCTAACTTCACGGGGTAGGGTTTAGGTTTGCGGTACACTCTACCCTCCTTAGACCCCACTTGTGGAATTTCACTGCGTATGTTGTTGTTGTTGGAGATGAATTGACTAGTGTTCTCAGAGAGCATGACAAAGGAAAAGTCCTCCTGAAAAATGGGTTCCACAGATCTTTTTAGGTTATCGAAATTGTGGGATGGCTAAAAAGGGGAAATCCGACTATACTTCTAGGACAGAGTGAATAGTGAATGCTGTATCTTTTAGGGAAAAAGTAACCGATTTCTCTTTCCATTCGTACTCGGCTGCACATAACTGCACTTGAAAACAGACGTCAGGGTAGAAGAGAACTATTATATGCATCTCAAGGTTCTGCTTCACTTACATATTATCATACCTCTGTTAGATGAACTTACAATATCGTTTTTCCCTGCCAATTGTATTGCTGTTGATATCTTTAGATGGTTGATACGCATTTGAAATCTTGTTTGAAGGTTGATCTAGACAACATTGACGAGAAAGAGTTCCCAAATATATTAGACCTCGAATTCCAGGACTGTATTTTAGAGGAAGGTGAAATGCTTTACATCCCCCCTAAATGGTGGCACTACGTCCGCTCTCTCACGACAAGCTTTTCAGTTAGCTTTTGGTGGAGTGATGCTGAAAAATTAGACGACTGATCGGTCTCGTCTCGTTTATACAAAGGGAACCAGTCCAACCATCATTCTTCTGCAAATAGCCTTGTTGTCTTTGAGACTTGTGATGATGAATTTCCAAAGAGTGGCAATCTTGCTTTATTACTTAAAGGTTTGTCTAATCATTATCATGAATTTAGTAAATAAGGTGAAAATGAAATTCTACTTATTTGGAACTGAGTTATAGTTATTGTTGTAGGATTTCACGAGATGAAATGACAAAAAGGTTTAGAATTATTGGTTTCACGAGTCTCATACCTTTACTATCATCGTTTTTTATCTATCTAAAATATAGTCTTTTGGATTAAAACACATTTTGATGCTAAGTTGGCCAAATATTGTGCTCGATCGACAACAAGTGTGTACAAACATATTTTGGTAGGTATAGTTAGTCGGATTTAGATTAAAATAGAAAATTGGCTCATTTTAGTCGAAATTGGATAATTTTAGTTCTTTTGGGGGCTTTCATCCAATTGAGGTATAGTAACGACGAGGGTAAAATTTTTTTTATTTTAACAATAAGGATAAAATTAACTAATAAATAAAAAGTTAAAAGGATATTTTTAGTCATTTTTTCAAATATTTTCTATCAAATTGATACGCTAAAATTAATATAATTTGATATAAACACTCGCTAAACTCTCCATCATCACACATGAAAAGTCAAAAATCTTCAATAGGAACTCAATCATCAATTATAATATAATCCAACAAAGACAACATTTCAATAGCAATCTTTCATTCTCCTCTCTTCTTTCCACACACCATGGAAGGTGAAAAACCTCACATAGTTCTCTTCCCTTTCATGTCACAAAGTCATATAATCCCTTTCTTAGCTTTAGCTTCAAAATTTACCCAAAAAGGTTACCAAATCACTTTCATAAACACACCATTAAACATCAAGAAACTCAAATCATCATCAGAAAACCCTTTAATTCATTTTCTTGAAATACCCTTTAACACTACTGAACATAATCTTCCACCAGATGCTGAAATCACTGATTCTTTACCTTACAATCTTGCCCTTGAACTTCTTAAAGCTTCCCCTTCACTTGAATCTAACTTCAGATTCATACTTACTCATCTTGTTAACCTAAAGATTGGATTTTTCAAGAAACCCCCAAATTGTGTTGTGTCAGATTTCTTTTTTGGGTGGTCAGCTAAGGTAACTCATGAATTTGGTATTTTACATTCTATTTTTGTTGGTGCTGGTGGTTTTGGATTAGCTTGCTATTACTCTATGTGGATAAATTTACCTCATAAAGATGTTAATAATCTTGAGTTTATATTGCCTGATTTTCAAGAAGCTGGAAAATTTCATGTCACACAGTTGTCACCTAGTCTTGCTATAGCTGATGGAAGTGATGATTACTCAGTTTTTCAGATGAAGAATCTTCCACTTTGGGAAAACTCAGATGGGGTTTTGGTTAATACTGTTGAGGAGTTTGATAATATTGGATTGATGTATTTTAGAAGGAAGTTATGTATACCTGTTTGGGCAATAGGACCAATACTTCATCAAGAAAATGTCAATCCTAGGAAAGAACCAGGAATTTCTTTAGTGAAATGTAAAGAATGGTTAGATAACAAGGATGAAAATTCAGTTCTTTACATATGTTTTGGTTCACAAAACACGATTTCCGCGTCACAGATGATGCAACTAGCAAAAGGATTAGATGGGGTTGAAGTAAACTTCATTTGGGTGATTAGACCACCTTTAGGATTTGATGTAAATGCTGATTTCAGACCAGAAGAATGGTTACCAGAAGGCTTTATTGAAAGAAATCAAGAACAAAGAGGACTAGTAGTGGTTGATTGGGCACCACAAGTTGAAATCTTGGCTCATGAATCAATAGGTTCATTTTTGAGTAATTGTGGTTGGAATTCAGTTCTTGAATCATTGATCAATGGTGTCCCATTGATTGGATGGCCAATGGCAGCTGATCAATTTTTCAATGCTAAGTTTTTGGTTGAAGAAATTGGTGTTTGTGTTGAAATGGCTAGAGGGACTACATTTGATGTAAGTTATGGGGATGTAATTGAAAAGATTGAGTTAGTTATGGGTAGTGAAAGTGAAAAGGGGAGAAGATTAAGAGGTAAAGCTTGTGAAGTTAAAGAAATGATTAAAGATGCTAATAGAGATGAAGATGATTACAAAGGATCTTCTATTAGAGCTATGGATGAGTTTTTTAATTTGATGATGAAAGAAAGGATTGGCTCACAATAATTGACTTTTTTTTTTTTGTTAATAAAATAAAGAAAGAGAAATCTAGAAGAAAAGTTCAAGCTACTTCTTCACTTTTATATATATATATAATTTTTTTTTGGATGTTTCAAAGAATAGTTTTGAAAAAAGAAATGATCAATGTTGCGGTGGGATGGATAAGGTCTTAACATCTTTATTCAGGAGTTTCGAGCTGAATTGTTTTAATCCAAGATATGTGAAGATCTTAGTAGGGAGTAATTCTCTCTTAAATGAGCTTTGAGTGGCATGGACTCTAATTAGTCGTGATTTTAATGTGAATATCAAAGATCAAGTGAGCATTTCCCGAATCTTTCACGAGCGAATATCAAATGTTGGATATGAAACCAAAAGAAAATGTCTAAATTTGTGGATAATGAGTTGACTTGTAATTGGTTTTAAGAGTGTTAGGAATTGAGCTTGTAACAATATATTGAGTGCATATTTGAAGTTATAAGTATCTGTTCTTAGGGAAAACTTTCAAGTTCTAACTACAAGTATTGAAAACTAGTAAAGCTATTTGCGTTTTGCGTGAGAATTTAATATCATAAAATTACTTATAAAATAAGTTCAGGGGGTAATAAGACCTTAGTATAGTATAAGTGTGTCTCTGAGATTGGGGTACTTGCGCATTTTTTCCCTTTATATTAATATTAAATTTCTAGATTTTTACTGGTTGTACATAGGTGTAGTTTTATCTTCCCCGTGATATTTATTCTGGTAAATCTTTTCATATTCTTTAAAATACTCTATAAAGTGCATCATAAGGTGTATTTGTCCCATTATTTCATTCGTCTTCTTTCGGTTAAATTTTTCCTTCAAAAAGAGTCTGCTTCATGTAATCTATTACAATTGATTTAGCTCCCAAACTATTATTACTTTTTGTAGTATTGCTAAGCTAGCAGCATATGCACTTATTTTCGTATAATACGTATTTCTGAAAAGCTTATGTTGTAATAAAATTCATATTCAGATAGAAATAATTGATTCGAGAACTTTTTTGCGTATATAAATTTTAAAGTGTGGACATGGACTATGTTAGAAGCACACATGTTCACATTGTGTGTTTGTGTAGTTTAAAATTATATAAAATACACGTGCAGAGCACATGTTCAAAGACTAGTAAAACTAAACAGATAAACACACATATCATACGTGATTTTATGGAGAAAAAAAAAACCTTTGAAATTGTAGAATTAAACAACAAACTCTTGTAAACATTATTTACATAATAAAAAAATAATTTGATTCTACGTAAAATGAAGTTCTTTTTTTTATTAGTTTAAAAAGAAGAACACACTTTTTAATTTTTAATTATTATCTTTTTTTTCCAAATGGAATACACATGGACAACACTTCTATTTTTTTACTATTATTTGCCACATATTTTTACTTTTTATTATTTTTTTCAAGATGTACCATACTGATTTTCTATTTTTATATTTCTAATCTCTGATTTCAAGATATGCCACCTTTTTTTTAAAAAAAAAAATCAGATTCTCTGCCACTCCTAAAATTATTTATTAATATTCTTTTTTCATGATCTGTCACGTGATCATTAAAAATAGCACACCAGATTTATTAATTTAAAATTATTTATTTTTCTAGTTTCAATTTTATTATCAAGTTTAATTTTAATAAGAATATGAATGAGCGTTATTGTTAGTTCATTATTATCAACTACTATCATTCATAATTAATATCTATAGTTATTATCTTCAATACATATTATCGTCGATCAATCAATATGGTCAACCATCAGCATGAATAACCATCATTTGCAATAATCATCTCCGAGCACCAACAATCAACAATCACAACGATAAATCAATATCTATAGTTACTATCTTCAACACATATTATCGTCGATCAATCAATATGGTCAACTATCAGCACCATTAACCATCATTTGCAATAATCATCTCCGAGCACCAATAATCAACAATAGCAACAATAAATCAATATCTATAGTTACTATTATCAACACATACTATCATCGATTAATCAATATGGTCAACTATCAACACCATTAACCATCATTTGTAATGATCATCTCCGAGCACCAATAATCAACAATCGCAACGATAAATCAACATTCTACATTGCCAACTATACATTCTATTACACATTATTATCATCCACTATAATTATCGATCACCACCATATCAATTACTACCATTGACCACTAGTCACTATCTATTGTGACCACAATCACCACTAATAGTCCATCATCATCACCAATTGACATAAGTACTATTTTTAAATAATATTTTATTGCTATATGTATTAAACTAATAACAAAATCTCAGTTTTTGTATTCAAATATTAATACAATAACTTAATATTCAAGTTTAGACATCTAAACAGTAAACTTAACGCAACCTTGTTATTCTGGCATTCGTTCAAACTAAACATATTTAATTTTAATAAATAAAATAAAATAAAGTTAAAGGACATAAATCACGTACTTTTAATGTGATGTGCTAGATTCATTAATCCGATGCGCAAGATACATTAATTTGGTGCGCTGATACATTAATCTAATGCGTGAAAATGAGGGATTTTAGGAATTTATAAAACTAATAGGGGTTAATGGTAATAAAAGAACTTAAAGGTGAAAATTTTGACATTTTTTCTAAAATAAATAGGAAATAAATATGAAAATGAGCAATATAAAAAAAGTACCCCCTCACCCCTCTCACACACACACTTATATAAACCACACTTTAATCAAATTCTTACCACAAATATGAAAAAGGTTTCTTTAGTTTTGTGGTTTTGTTTATTATTAGTCTCATCTTTTCTAGGAGAATCCAAAGAAGAAGGCCATGGAGTATACATTGTTTACATGGGTGCAAAGGGTTCATCTAATGATCACATTCAACTTATGAGCTCCTTGACAACAAGGTATATGACATCGTTTGTTCGGATATTTTTTAGCGAAATCTTGTTATATGAGAAAAAATCGTTATTTAGTGAAATGATAACTGTTATAAAAAAGTTTGACAATGACTAGTTGTAATATCTTAAATCCCTTCAATGAAAAATCTTGACTCCACCACTGACTCTATTTTACTTAATGATTTTTACTTTGTTATATACAGTGGCGGATCTAGGATTTCCATTAAGGGATTTGGGAAAAAAAGAGTAGTGCTAAGATTTGAGGTTTGAACGCCTCAAACACTAAGCCAACCTCTAATCATGTATTCAGAAGGTTCAAAATCAACATATAAATATACAACATAAATTTTTGTCGAGGGGGTTCAGTGAACCCCTCGGCAGACTCTAGGTCCGCCCCCGGATATATAACTAGTAGCTCAGACTCTTCCAAATCCTTTTCACACCCGTGTCGACACGACATGAGTGTGATTAAGGTATTGTATCTCAACACCTGTATTCACACTCCCGAATTTCAAAAATTTATGTGATGAAGATTCCGACCTCTGGATCCACACCTACATTAGGGATATCCGCACCTAAGTCTGAATAACATAGCTTGTTATTTCATCTTTCTTTTGTATATGACAAAGAAGAGCTTCTTTTCTGAGATATTGTATATACTTCATTAGGAGAAAGAATGCAGTGGTACACAGCTACAAACACAGTTTCTCAGGATTCGCAGCACGTTTATCAGACGATGAAGCTCAGTCGATAGCTCAACATCCCGGAGTAGTATCTGTTTTTCCAGATCCAGTATTTCAACTCCACACGACGCGATCATGGGATTTTCTGAGAGATCAATACAATCTTTTACACAACTTCCCGGACAGTTCTCATTCAAATTCAACCTCGAAAGGAGCAGATACCATAATTGGAATTTTCGACACTGGTAGCTAGGAACTGAACTGCCAAAAACTCTCATTGCACTTTGTCCATTCTTTACTATTAACTTTCTGTGTTATGTTTTAGGAATATGGCCTGAATCAGAGAGTTTCAATGACAAAGGTATCGGTCCAGTCCCATCGCGATGGAAAGGAACTTGCACCAGAGGTTATGATTTCAAATCATCCAGCTGTAACAGGTATAACAGTATTATTTAATGTCCTGAGTAACCGATCCAGTGTGTTAGCCCTGAGTCCACGGGAACTTAGTAGCTCTTGCTTGAGGTTGTTGTTGTAGAAACCTATAAATATTTGAACCTTGGATCTGTTTGTGTTTTCAAATGTCGCTAAATATGTATTTCTAGCGGCAACTAGGACTCTTTGAATATGTCCCCAAAGCCTTTAGCGAAATTGGTTCTAATGACACTTAATTTATGTCGGTAAATACTTTAGTACTCTTTATTAATGTCAATATTTAATGCCGCTAAAAGTTTTTTTTGTAGTAGTGTCATACCTAATGATCTTGAATTTTCGACCTACATTTGCCCCATGAACAAATCTTCAAGGTTAAAAATTAAAACTTGAAGTTTTGTTCTACGGGGCAAGCAAGGTCAAAAGTTCAGGACCATCGCTCGTCTCAGTGTGTCACAGTCTTGGAAAAGTAAGTAAATGATAGAAATGACTTGCATCAGGAAACTGATTGGAGCAAGGTTTTATGACGAACCTGGAGAATCAAAAACACCTTTTGTGGGCACACCTAGGGATCACGACGGGCATGGTACTCACGTTGCAGCCATAGCAGCAGGGAGTTCAGTGGCAGGTGCATCCTATTACGGCATAGCAGGAGGAACAGCCAGGGGCGGGTCTCCAGGGTCAAGGATTGCAGTGTACCGTACATGCACGCCTTATTCTGGATGCAGTGGATCGAAAATTATGAAAGCATTTGATGATGCTATTGCAGACGGGGTCGATATCATCAACTTATCATTTGGTCAACCAGCTGGAGCAGAGTTTGAGTTCTCGAAAAATCCTATTGCCATTGGAGCCTTCCATGCTATACAGAAGGGCATTTTCGTTGTTGCCTCTGGTGGAAATGATGGGCCTTCACCGGAATCTGTTGTCAATGTTGCTCCTTGGATTTTCACAGTTGCTGCAACAACTATTGACAGAAACATTGAAACACATATTCCCTTGGGTGGAAACATACTAATTAAGGTTTTCAAAAGAAAACAAAACAAAGTTATTCGATATATCCACTAGCTATCGATCTTTTCGAGAACATCTCTTAATGCCCTTTTCAATTTTCAGGGTGGAGGTATTAGCTTTTCCGATCTCAAGAAATCTCCAGTTTATCCGTTGGCAGACAGTGTATCGGTCAAAATAGACTCGGAGTTTGTTTATGACGGTGAAGCAAGGTAATTGGAAATTGAAATTTATCAGTTCACATTTCTGGGGCTTCACGGAAATAACTTTTTTGCATACTTGTAACTAACTTGGTCAATGTTTCAGTGACTGTGAACCAGATAAACTAGACGAACACAAAGTCAAGGGAAAAATTATTATATGTGACCATCTCGACGATTACTATTCACTCGAAGAAAGGCTGGATGAAGTGAAGAAAAAGGGTGGGATCGGATTTATACTAAGTCTTCCTGATGATGAGCTCATAACAGCACCTAAAATGGGATCATTTCCGGGGGCAGTAGTCACTCAAGGAGACGGCACAAAGATTCGTTCTTACATCAACTCAACAATGTACTCACTTTACTTCTCAATAAGAACTTGCGGGGTAACATACCGACTTGCTAATTTCACCTTCATATTTTCTAAAGGAACCCGGTGGCAACAATTCTACCAACTGTTGGTGTAGATAATTTCAAACCGGCTCCTGTTGTGGCTTTCTTCTCATCAAGAGGCCCTAATTATAACACTCGAAACCTCCTAAAAGTAAGAATTCCTTATTCTAACTTCATTTCTTTCATATTTAGGGGTAAGTCTGCGTACTACCCTCTCTAGATCCCACTTGCGGGACTACACTGGGTTTATTGTTGTTGTTGCTTGATCTGTGCCCTTTTGCACAGTGCTATGATAGTACTGTTCCGAAGAGACAGTAAGGACTCGTGATTACTTACATACTTAAGTCATAAAACTGAACATATGTTTCATGCAAGATTACCGTACCAAATGGTTTCTGACATGTATGTGCAGCCGGACATTGCAGCTCCAGGGACAGCAATACTTGCAGCTTGGACCGCTAGTAACGACACAGATGTAACTCGGTTTGGCCAACAACCACCGCTATTTAACATCGAGTCAGGTACTTCCATGTCTTGTGCTCATGTTTCTGCAATTGTTGCAACACTGAAGTCTCAGAATCCCTCGTGGAGTCCGTCAGCAATCAGATCAGCTATAATGACCACAGGTAAGTAACCTGATAATAGTTTTAAATATATCAGTGCCTCCAATTTATGGATTTTACGAAAACAAATCTCATTTTTTCGACCCCTTTTGTTTCCTTTTAATAGCTTTTCAGCAAAGCAATACAAAGAGTCCAATAGATCTCAATGGAAACGCAGAATTCCTTGCCACGCCATATGATTTTGGTGCAGGAGTAGCAACTCTGTCTGGACCATTGCAACCAGGTTTGGTTTACGAGACCGAGATCACAGACTACCTGCAATTCCTCTGCTCTCAAGGATACAACACATCAACAATAAAACTCATCTTGAAGAAACTTCCAGACAATTTTTCATGCCACGCAAACTCGAGTGATGAGTTGATGTCTAACATGAATTACCCATCAATAGCCGTTTCTCTGTCCAAAGTAAGAAAAACGAAGAAAGTTATCAGAACTCTAACTAGAATTGGTGATGAAGAATCAGAATATACAGCAACCATAACAACACCAGATGTGTTGAGAGTCGAAGTTAGTCCAAAGAAATTGAAGTTTACAAGTGACAAGAAGAAACTGAGCTATCAAGTGACTTTTAAAGCAATGTCTAGAGAGAAAGAATTTTTCGGATCAATTACATGGTCGAATGGTAAGTACAAGGTTCGAAGTCCATTCGTTGCCTCGTTTTGGTAACATTTTCATCAATCTGCTACTTTACTAGTCTAAGAAAAAGGGTGTATGCAATGCATCCATGAACATTGTATCACCAATATGAATCCGGAATGAAAGGTTCTCAATAAAGATTTCGTGATATTCTTCGTGTTGTTTTTCGTTAAAGAATGTAAATATCTACTGAAGAGCACCTAATACAACTAAAGAGCACCTAACCTCACAACCTTCTTAGACTGAATAAGTTCTGAAAAACGATACTGTATTAATGAAGGATGAAACGACGGGTCACTAAGCCTAACTTGAATAGATTATTCTCAAATGCCGATTTAGGCAGTGCCTTGGTAAGAGTGTCGACTATTTGATCGGCACCATCGACATGAACAGCATGAACCCTTTTGATGTTGATCGGCACCTCGTAAAGTAAATATCTACGAGGTGTCATTGGTAATATCTACTGTGACACCCGTAACCTCTAAATTCTGGATTCGCCATAGATAGAAAACAATTATAGTGCAGTACAGCTGTTGGATTCCAACTATGTGCTCACATTTCTTACAGTCTCAAAAGCACAAAAAACACTATAACATATACGCCGTCCATTTCAATTTGTTTGTCTTTTAGTTCCTTTTTAGTCGGTATAAAAAAGAATGTCACTTTCTTTATAAAGTAATTCTTTACCCCTAACGTAGATTCAAATTACATTTTGGTACGTTACATACATTTTTAGTTTAAGATCATAAGATTCAAAAGTTCTAATTATTTTCTTTAACTTCGTGTCGAGTCAAACTAGACAAAGAGATTGGAACGGAGAGAGTACTATGTAATGAACAGAAATGAGATGTACACCAGAGCAAGCATACTGATTACTGATTAGGCAGAACCCAATAGCTCTCGCGTAGATTCTATATTTGTATTAAAAAATTACTTAATATGTATAAATAATTATTGTGAACCCCGTAACTATTTTTATCAGAAACTAAAAGTCAAACTCTAAAATTCTAAGTCCGACACTGAAACTGAAGCTCTATCAATCAAAATCCAGAGATAGAAGCAGTTGATGAAAAGGATGATGGGATGAAAATGCAGTTGTTTTGAGCTTGCTTCTAATGTTTGTAAATTGCAGAGGTTGCAGAAAGTAAAGATTGTGTCGGGTAAAACTTATCCGTACCGAGTGTTTACACCAAATCAATACATGCATGCCACGTGTTTAAATTTATAGTTCATTTTACTTCATTAAATCACGTGATAATGAAAATTGCATTAGCTCGGTGTAAACATCCGGTGCAGGTAAGTTTTTTCCTTTTGGTGTCATCTTCACATGTTCTACTCTTTTTTAGTCTGTCCCAAAAATTACGTTTTACTTCCTTATTCAGAAACAATTTAATTTTTCATTTTACCCTTAAAGACTTATAGCTACACAAATTTCTACGATTTGTTTTAGACCATAAGGTTTTAATCTTCCTTTTTTTCTTTTCAACTTTGTACCTAGTCAAACAACGCCATACTAATTGGGACAAAGTACTTACTAGTGCACAGAAGTGGCTCAAGCGTATCAGTGACCTAAAACAAAAATCAAACGAGACCTTAACTTAAAATTGTTAATACCTTTTATATAATTGATTTCTTCTAGTTTTCATCCGATAATATAACCATTCTTATTTTAAATTATTTTTCATGCGATATAGTACTCCAAATATGTCAAATTTCTTCTAATTATCCCTTTATTATCCATGAAATATTTACTTTTTCTACAAATAGTATTCAATATTTGTTAAAACATAATAACTTATAACCTATTATTATTAAAAACAAGGTCTCTTAAATTTTGAGGCCTAAGACATGTACATGTCTTCTTTTTTTTAAACACTGTCGAGCCAACCCTACTAGTGCATTTTGTATCTCTACAAAATAAAATGATAAATGAATGAACAATAACAATATTAGGGAGCGCTTTACCCCCAATGTGGGACTTCACGACGCAAATCCGGATTTAGTTGGGCTCCAATGTGGGTACCGGACACCGCATGGGAAACCAAAAAGAAATGTGATAAATTGGGCATCAGTTAGGGCCTTAACTTTATACGGACAAAGAACCAAGAAACATCCTAATGTAACAATGAAATCCTTCACTTACATCACTTGTGCAGCACAGTCAAGTATATTCTGAGCAAGTAACAACTTCTAAAGAAGCTAAAAAGAACTCTATGTATTGTTTCTGCCTTTACTACTCATGAAACTAACTCATTAACATGAGGTACTTTTCTTGAACATGTAAAAAAATGTGTTTGCTGTCACACTGGATTTACATTTGACTTCTCGAAAAGAAACCTAAGCTGATAACTTACAGTCGAACTTCTGACATTATGATAGGAAGAGCTGTTCCACCTTAGTTACTGTCCTGCAGAGAAACTCTTGTAATGAGAACATAAGCACAAAAATACATTCCGAACAAATGAAAGAGTTAAAAGCAATTCAGTTTAGTAGCACTCACATTCTAAAAGTTGTCCTTCCTCTTATACTTGTCTATGAGGCGAAGAATGACATTAGTTCTTTGTCAAAATCTAAATCATAATCCGAATTATCAAAATGACTTTCAGTATCAAGCCCCAAGTCAAATGGACTGCCGAGTGGAGATGCAAAAGGCATATCAATATGTCTGTCGTGATTATTCTGAAACATGTCTTTTCCATCATGATGATTGACTTTAGAGATATCATTTCCACTTCCGTGAAGCGATGGACCAACACCAGAATGCCTTGGCGTAACATGAAGTTCATTGTGAGCCAAGTGGGACTGTGGTTCAGCATGTGTCGCCCCAAATTCAGGTGATGAATAAGAGTGATACACAGGTGGTTGACTGAAGTTAGAAAATTGAGACCCTTGAGCAAATTCAGAAACTTGCAGTTCAGTGTGTGCGATGGAACTGGGAGGTCCATATTGCAACCCGTTGTTTGGAGGTCCATAATGCGATAAGGAAATTTGTGGTCCATCATTTATACCAGAAATCTTCTGGAGACCATGGAACTGAGTGTCTTGAAATTGATGCTGAACTATAGAGCGTTGATTTTCAAGATGCATCTCTGATTCATAAGGGACAACAGCAGAATTTTGAGACATCGGATAAAATGATGGCCCAGCACCTATATATGTATCCTCTTTACGGACTACATGAGCTGATGGAACCAATGATAGGTTTGAGTCTTGTAATGGTAACTCTGATTGAATCTCTAAGTCGTTCTCTACAGAATTTGTTGTTTCACTCTTGTCATTTCCCTGTAGGCTGTTACTCGTTATACGTCCAGCCAATAGCATTTTTGAACTGTTTATATCAGGTAATGTGTTACTATGCTCGTCACCATGTAGCTGAGATGGTTGAATCTGTTTCTCAGTAGGGTTTGACCTAGCTCGTTTTCTCCTTCGATGATGTCCATCTCCTTTCTCCGTACTTTGGTGAGATTGAGGAATGGCCTTTAGAGGATGAACATGATTCCTCCTCTCGTCCCTATACGATACAGAGCCAATACCATCATCAGTGATATCAACATCATAGTCGCTGTCACTGCTAACTAAAGGTTTCTTCTTTTCACCACGGTTTCTAACTGGTTCCTCTACGCTAGATGATCCATTCTCACTGCCTGCTTGTTGGAGGGTTGCTTCCTCTCTGCTTAAAACAGCCAGCCAAATTGAGCTCTCCTTAGCAGTCATCTTGTCCTGCAGACTCTTCGATTTGCGGATTAATCTCCTGATCTTTGCAATATCAGGTGACATGTGCTTTATGACAGCAGTTAGAACACCAACTTTCCACATCTTCTTCAAATCATGAGGCTTTCTGTATGGCGGTTTCTGACCCTTAGGTAGTCCCATTTTAGCCCACCATCCCTCATCCCCAGTTGGCCACCATGGTGGCGAGATACCTTTCTCCAGCGGGTATTTCCGTTGAGGCGGATCACAGTGTTGCATTAAAGAAGACAAAAGGGACCCCAAGGTAGCATCTTGCAAGTCTTCCAAGACACTTTGCGGGTTCCCATTTTGGCTGCCTACACCGTCTCCTCTTGCTAGACATTCCGCTTCGTACTTGGCTATTGCAGCAAGACCATTCTTATCAAACTTCACCTTCTCCTTCCACCAAGCTCTTATGTTATCTGACGAACCGCTCACAGGCTTACCCTTATCAGGAATGATTCCATAAACAAATCCTCGAGCATTGCAGACCTCCATGAGCTTCAACATGTACTTCAAAATCCCATCTTGAGCTCTTGACATCTTTTTCCGCGTAGCCTGATCAGTAACTTGTTTATTGTCCTGCTTCTCTGCAGCTAGCCGGGCTGCAAGCTTCTGTTTTTCCTTGAGCCGCTTGAGCTTGACACGGTCCTTCCACATCCGTCTCTCCAATTCTTTTGGCTCAATTTCTTCATCGCTGACATCCTTTTCGGCTATATCACACTTTATGTCATCAATTTCAATGTCCGAGCTGTTCTCAAACACATCAGCTTTAATCATACATCACTCAAATCAAAAGCAAAATATCTATCCATCCAACAAAGATACACTATGCGAACTCCAAATCTTTTTTTATTCGTAAAAACAGCAAACTTCAACGTCAAAGTATACACACAATTCAGACTTGCAAACACCAAAGAGGCAAAGACTAAAAGCTATTACAAAGTGACCACAAAAAGCAACAAACTTTTTCTTATAATTACGGTGTCTGGGCTAGCTAGCGTGCACCTCGACCAATTTTGTCGACCAAGGTAACCACAAAAAGCAAAAAACTCACACTGGAAAACACAAAGGACTCGTTCCTTCAAATCCAAGATATTAAGTTGGGCACGTATCTTGTGGAATTAGTCAAGGACTCAATGTGCTTGCAAGCTAGCCCGTACACCACGATTATCAACAACAACAAAAAAGGCTTCACATTGGGTTTACAGAAAGCTCATAAAACATCACAACCCAAAAAATATAACACCATATACAAAAACAAAGAGGCAAATAAAACAAAACCAAGATTCAATTTTTATGATTGCTAATTGCTCAATTTCCAACAATTGAGCAAAATATCCACTTTCAAGTTAGTTCTTTACCCCCCTTCTCCATACGAACTCCCGCCCTTTTGCTTCCTTGGTGACTCGAACCTACATCTTCGAGGCAAAGGGTGCTTAACATCCGAGCAACCCCTCTTGTCTTATATACCCAAATCCTCAAATACTAACAACAACATACACAAATGATCAACAACCCATACATCTCTTCAAGATTGTAAAGATCAAAGCTTTTAGCCATTTTGAAAACAAAACCTCAAAAAGAGGGGAAAAAAAAACACAAGTAGTTAAAAGGGTGTATACCTGACATCAATTCCAATCTCATCCATCACAGCCATTTTAATACAGCAAATTGCAGCAAGATAGATACAAACCTGAAAAGGGTATTAGATTTTATACCTTTTATCTCTCAAAAAAATTTTTTTTAAAAAAAGGGTTTAAAATCAAGAATATTTAATAGTGAAAATTTCATAAAACAGAGACAATGAAGACTCTTAATTTCAAAGGGAAAAGGGGACACAGATAAAGATTAAAAATGGCTGAAAATTCTCAAAAAAGATTTGAAAATGAGAGATTTTTTTATTTTTTTTTAATTTTCTTAGACAAATATTTCTTCTAATAAAGGGACAAAAAGAAGAGGAAAATCATCAAAGCTTACACAAATTATTATTATTATATAATCTTTTTATTAGTCATTAAATTAGAAATTCAATAACTTAAAATTAGAAAAGAATAATGTTTATACCTTATTTGTTTTGCACAATATAATATTTTGACCAAAGAAGGAAAATAATGTTGAATACTTTAGTCAACTATGAGAAAATAATTATGATTAGTATGTAATTAGTTATCTTTCATATAATATAGTTTGACTGAATAAATAAAAAATTATGCTTTACAATGTTTGAATCTTGTAATTTTAAGTAGTGTAAAAAATGTCATATATAATGGATTGATACGATCATATACTAGATAGATCGAATGTGTGGAATATCTCATATTTACGTAAAGTTTTTTTTAAAAAAAAATCATAGTGTAATTACTGAATATAATATAAATAATTACCCTCTTTTAATAATATAATTAATTTTTGTATTTTACGACTTGAACTCGTGATCTAAAGACAAAGTTTGACAAATCTTATATTTTGTCTTATTCTCATAATGGAACAAAAGGGGAAAGCTAAGAAACATGTAAAAAAATGTCCAAATTCAATGAATTTATGAATGCATCCAGGTTCAATGAACTTGTCTCTTCTTTTTTTTAAAAAAAATAATTATTTTTTTTATTTATTTGAAGTCATTATTTTATTTGACCATTTATCCTTTTTTTTTTTTACCTCAAGGGAAGGAATTGGAAGAAAAAAAAGTATTCCCTCTTTCACAAAAAAAATGTAATCAATTTTTTTTTAAAAAAAAATATCAAATTTGTATAGTAAAAGTCTTTAGTTCTGCTTTTAACTTAACGACCAAAAAATCCTACTTTCGAACTTCAACCCCTTTGAGGTGGTCAAAGGGTAACAATCTCTCACGCCCGACAATATTGCAACAGGTAGGGACTTGTCCATCGGCCTACTTTCCCAAGAGGTGTCATGAGTGCAACGATCACCAAAAAACAATTCATCAACATAACACAATAGACTTATCAAGGGTTTTTTAATATATAAAGAAGTAAACGTACGTAGGCCTTACATACACAACATAATTTTCAACAACCCCTTGTACCTCCTAGCTCCAGCGTCGAACTATTGGGGTACAGACAAATTTTAAATAAAACGAATATTATCATACTATTGATTCCAACATATTTAGAACTGAATCGTGTATATCTCGGCATCATTGTGAAAAGGAAGACTTTAAAAAAAGGAAAAACATAACAATTTTCTCTTCATTTCCACCTCTTTTTATCTTTCATAAACCATATAAAAACTATAATAGATGGTAATTTATTCAATGACAAAGCCAAAAACAAACATTTCACCTTGACTTAACAATTTCTTCTTTCATTGCAAGTGAAAGAGCATTTAAACAACAACCACTTTCTACTACTACACCAGGCATTGCCACAGCTCTACTCCCCACAAAACTTCCTTCACCTATTCTAACTTTACCAAATTTCACTTCCCCTTCACCTTCATATATATGTCCAAATAACAATGCTTCTTTGCCTATACATCCACCTCCTTCAATCTCTATCATCTCAGGATTCAACAGAACTCCATTGCTATCTACATAAACCCCTTGATCATGACTTAATTCAACTTGTGATCCCATAAGTTTCATCCAAATGACAAACAAGAATGATCCTGTTGTCATTTCCATGAAATAGTCACTAACAAGTGTTCTAAATGCTTGCCATAATGTTTCCATTAGTAGTCCTTTGCTCCATATGAGTGATTTTCCTCCATCTTTCTTTCTTGTTGTGAAAACTAGTTTTGCTAACACACAAGTGAATGCTGCTATCACCCCTGAGGATATCCAAAAGAATGGGAAAAACCAGTATAGTTGATGGCTTGTTGTTGAACATATGAGCCAGTTTAGAGGACTATGTATTGAATATGACAAAAGGAAGTATGGTAAGAATGTTTGGAGTATTGGCTGAGCAAAAGTGGACCAAGAAGTTTGATACCATGTTCTTGATAGAGCTACTTCTTGATGATGAGTACTTTCTTGTTTCACTTGTAGTGCAATTGGACAGCCTGAGAGATCAACTTTCACATCTGATTGTTCTATGAAGTTCTTCCAGGCTTCTGGAAGTGGTTCACCATTTCTCAAATGTTGGCAAATTTCATATATCAATGAACGACCGTGATCGATGGAAGCACTTTGAGAGGCTGATGTTGCCTTCACAACATCAATCTCGTGGCATCGAAGAAAGGGGTTGAATTCCAGCTGCTCTGATTGTTTTTTGGTGAGGTTCTGATCAACAACGATTTCTCCAACATCAACATATGGGAATTCAGCTTCATCCCATGGCCTAGTGCAGTCAAGTGCAATGTCTTGTGTTGCTTCATCCTTAGGCACAGACCTGAATTGTAGTTGGAAAATGTAGCGAACACCGCCTTGTGAACTTACCCTTTTCTTGAAATCATCAACAAGGAAAAGTAACGGGCGTGTGTCGTTATCTTTCCTAGGAATTGCACCTGTTTCTGGAGGAAGTATTCCAATAGGCTCAACTTTACCAGAATCCTTTCCAATGTTTTCATCACCAGGCCTCAATTTGAACTTCACATACATTTCCTGTCCATCTGTAAACCTGAAAAGCCTGCATATATTTGAGTAATAGTGCATCTCTGTATATGAGTTTGAATCACGTAGTGATGTCCATACTGCATCGCGAACATGTGGTACGCGTTTCACATGCTCCTCCCTTGCTGCTAAGCCACAAACAAGCCATGTCGCGAAGTCAGAGATAGTCCGAGCATAGAATGCTTCCCCTGTCTTCAATGTCAAATCTAGAAGTGGCTTTTCATCATCAGAATTTGCATGATCAGAGAGTATTCTCAATGCAGCACCACGAGCATCGAGCCTTGCATCATCATCGGCACTTAAGCTGTTGCTATGCCGGACTATGACAGGATATTGTTTGCTGGATACAAAGATTGTATGGTCTGGAAATCCTTTGATGTTGTCATATATTTTGAGCATTCCCTTTCCACTAACACCAATTCTATGGAAGTATCTTGTTTTGACCTTGAGAGTAGTTGCAGCCAAATTTGCAGCTAGATTGCCAACTATCTTCTTGTATTTTGGATCCATATCTTCTATCCTTTCATCCATGGCATGTCGTGTGTTCTTTATCATGACGGGGGATTGAGATCCAACGTAAACGCCACCACTTTGAAGAACAGAATCAATCGGAGCAACTGAAAGTGCACCAAGAATAACATTTTCTTGGATAAGTGATCTTGGAAGGACAACACTTTGGCTCCCAACAACTGAATTATCTTGTACCTCAACTATTCCACTCGTGTAGCCACTCGAGGAATAGAAGCCGGTTACAATCCTGCTGAAGTCACCTAGATGGACACCTTCACCTAGTGATATCAATTTTGGATCACAAACCGCGTTGATGGCTCGGATAGAACAATGGTTTCCAACTTTTGCTCCTAAGAGCCTCAAGTACATGCAGAAAGCTTCAGTTCCAGAAAGGAGTTTAGCAAATCTGAGATGACAGGCAATGTTAATTCTATGTTTCAACCATATTCTCAGTGAATTATCGGTGTTTCGTAAGAGAAAATTGTTTACAAATATGGTAAGGATGCTCAAAGTCAAGCCATGAGCCAGGTAGACAGTTGCAACTGAGATAGCGAAGATTATCGGGCTTGAAGTGATACTAGAAATAATCGCCATGTAAGCGATGATAGTGAACGGAAGCCAGTGGAATGCTCCAGAGAGACATATTAAGGAGAAGTGATGAAGAGATGGAGATTTTTGAGCTAACAGTATGTACAAGAAATAAAGGATAGCTCCTGAGAGGGCGCTTATGAATCCGACAATGTAGATTCCCATCAAGTGATACATAGCTGTAATGAGACCATGTTCTGTTTCATTTGCCGGTTCAACGACCTGAAAATACAATAGAAATGCATGTCGTTCTATTCAAAGAAAGTTCACAGGATGTTGTAATAAATTTAACATCTGAAATCAAAGTCCTCACCTTCTTACGGCTGTTTGACTTTGATGATGACGTCTTCTGTAATGATGCTACCTCAGTTCCTTCTGCCAAAACGCTTCCTTTCTGGAGTACAGCATAAGGACCAACTGAACAGTTTTTGCCAATTCTAACTGGATGGAAACTCAGGATTCCATTCTTCACTTCATGGCCTTGAATTAAAGCTCCTTCTGCAATAACAGCTCCATCTCCTATCGAAACAAGTGCTGGATCACTGATATCGATGGTATCCAGTACAACCGATGGTCCTATCCTTGCTCCAAATACTTGAAACCAGTATTTCAGAAAAACTGTTCCTCTCAAATGCACTGCCATAACTTTAGACGAAATTTCTTGTGCCTTATATAGAGCCCACCACTTAACAAAATCGAATGACCAGATGGACACCTCTGGGGTCAGGGAATAATTTGGTTGAAGGACCAAATTTCCAAGAGTACCGATGCATATGCAGGTGGTAGATATGCATAAAATCCAAGCAAATGGTGCAAAGATCAAGGAAATTGCATAACCAACCCAAGGAAATGAAATCACTAGAGTTGGATTTGTCAAAATCAGGTTCTTAAAGACAGATATGGATGAGTATGCAGGAAGAACCAGCATGAAAATGGCATAGACAAGAGCAAGAAGTTGCAATAAAATGATACCGAATCGATGGGATGGGGAAACTTCTTCAGCCACCAAATTACAGGAATCATCCTCTGAGTAGTCTGGAAGATAAGAAGGATTTGTTGCATCATGAGGTCGAGATTTTATAACCAAATCCTCTGTGAAGCTTGCCAAGTCCTCAATGCAAGTTGCTGTGAAGATATCGATTGCACCAACTTGAACTCCAAGAAAATCTGAAAGTTTTTGAGCTGACCTGACTACACCAATAGAATCAATACCATAAGATACTAAACTTTCAGTAGTAGTAATCTTGCTGATAGAGATTCCTGTCTGCTCCGATACGAGTCCCTTCAGGAACTCGACAATTTCCTTTTTATTTAGTCCTGGAGTTGGTGAAGGGGATGTTGTGTTCAAATGTGACCTTGGTGTATTTCCCTCCCTGCAAGAACCTGTGGTAAAAGATCTAAGAAGCTTTCGCTTTGACGAGATTTGATCTGGAACCACATCCAGTGTTCCATCAATGAATTGTTTCAAGCACTCAAATCTCTTTATCTTTCCAGATGTTGTTTTGCTGATAGTTTTTGGCTTGATCAGCTTAACAGAAGCCAAAGTAACACCATGTTCTTCAGCAACTCTTGCCTTAATTTCCTCGGCGACGTCTTTGCTAACAGGTTTACCATCTCTTACTTCTGCAATGACAACTAAGCCAACCTGGTCAGAGTGATCAGGTACTGGTACTCCTTTGCTGTATAAGGTCTCTTCTGGAACTCCAATAACAGCACAACAACCCGGGCGGAGGATTTCGGATGAGCTTTCGACAGTCTTTTCTATGTCTGACGGGTAAATATTTCTTCCAGCAACTATAATGAGGTCCTTGATTCTTCCAGTTATAAACAGATTCCCATCAATTATCCTTCCAAGGTCTCCAGTTCTTGTGTATACCTTTTCAGAATGCGAACCGAGTTTGTTTTTGAAAGTTTTCTCAGTCAATTCCTCCCTGCCCCAGTATCCAATGCCTGCACTAGGACTGCTGATCCATATTTCTCCTTCCCTTCCGGATTCATCATGCTCCTCGCCACTTTCCGGATCAACTATTTTGATATCAACATCCGCCTCATTTTGATTCGCGTAGCCGCAACCTACTCTTCCTTGCCAATCCACCAAGATTGGTTTTCCCTCCCCATAACCACAGCTTACAAACACACAGTTTTCTGCCAATCCATAGCCAGGAGCCATCACTCTTTGGGAAAGACCGAAAGGTCTCGTGAGCTCAATAAAATTCTTGAGAGTTTTCTGCCTTACTGGTTCAGCAGCAACCATTAGAAATTTGAGTGATGAAAGATCATACTTCCATTGCTTCTCTTTGTTAGCCTCCAACCTACGGACAACGAGCTCAAACGCAAAGTTTGGTCCAGCACTATGAGTTGCTTTGTACTTGCTCATCGTCTCGAGCCACATGAGAGGGTTCCTGATGAATGTCATCGGAGAAAACAAAACTGCTGATCCTCCACTTACTAAAGCTGTGAAAAGGCCACCAATAAGTCCCATATCATGGTACTGAGGAAGCCAGCTTATTAATACTGTGTTTGATGTGCTTTTGTATACTTTCCGCATTAACTTCACGTTATGGATTAAGCCACCATGAGTTATCATAACTCCTTTAGCATCTCCTGTTGACCCTGATGTGAATTGTAGAAAGCATACATTGTCCGGTTGAGGCTCAAACTTGTCATTGCTATTAGAATGCATTTCTTTGGCATTCTTAACCCAAGAGTCTGTGTGTATCCATAGAAGATTAGGCCAGCGACCGGAGCTTGTTCCATTTTTACGGTTCAGTGATATCAAATTCTTCACAGAACCTGCTCGAACAGCTGCATGATAACCTGCAGTAGACAAAATGGCCACTGCGTTGCACGATTTAGCAATGTTTTCAATCTTGAGTAGTGCTTGTCCTCCTCTTTGCATTGGATCTGATGGAAGTACCGGGACAGGCAATACTCCAGCTCTGAAGCACCCAAAGAAAGCATCAATAAAGTCAAGTCCCGGGACGTAAACTAGGAGAACTCTGTCACCTTGCTTCATTACTGGTTTTCGACTAGACAACAGCTTCTGAGCAATACAAGAAGCATTAGCGTTAAGTTCTTCATACGTCCTCTCGTTAACTACTTGTCCTTCTTCACTAATCCATTTGTACAATGTCTTCTTACAGGTTATGTTATGATTCGACCAGTACTTCAAATAACCATCAAGGCTATACAATTCCGGGAATTCCACTTGATGAGATTCTTTCAGAGCTTTCGGATTCTTATCCGAGCAATCAGATAAGAGGGGGAATAATCTCTGCAAAATCAATGATTTTTAATTGAATTATTTCACACTCCACACTTCAAATGCAACTTAATCTGCAGTATTTAAGTCATTTTCTGTTTCGAGTACCTTAACGTAAGGAAATCCCGGTTGTGGATCAGTATTTGCAAAGTGCTTGGAAATTAAGGCCATGGAATAGGATGAATTTCTTTCAGTAAGCTCAAATGCCATTAAACCACCTACATAATAAGTGTTTTTCTGACCTTGTAATTTGTTTTCTATTTTGTCATAGAAACCATCCTTCATATCTGTGTTCGAGTTCCAAAGAAGGTTAGTTACACAAAATTCTTAGCTATGATACTCGGACTCCTCAAAAATTCAACCAGGCGAGTGTTGGATCCTCTAGGAGTTGTGCATTTTTGGAGGATCCGACACAGTGTGGGAGCATTTTTGGAGTATTCGAGCATCATGGTCTTTTAGTAATAAGCATTATATACCTTGGCTATTTACATGAGGAAAATACTTGAATCGTCGTTGCAGGACAACCATTTCAACTTCACCTCCAATTCTTTTGACAGCATCAACCGCAAGCTGTAAAACTGTTGAACCCTTGACGTTGGCTGAGTTACCATAAGACCAGAACAAGAAGACGTTTGTGTCGGAATAGAATCTCTGCATGGCAACTGGATTTCCTATTGTTGCAGGATCATCCATAAACTCCTCAAAGTAATAAAATCCAACTGGTATGTGTTCTAGTCCTTTAATCTTCAGAACCGTCGTGTAATAGTCGATGGTCTGTACTTGACTGAACAACTCCTTTTCAAGTTCACTCAATTGCAGAACTCCATTTTCAGGATCTGTTGGATCAAACTAACATTAGCATCAAAGGTAGCGGAAACTCAAACACAAACAAGGCTGCATAATCTTGATGTATAGTTTATTATCTATGTTGCTCGAACTCTTTAAAAATGTTGCAGCACCCTTATCGGATCCTCCAAAAAAATGCACTACCACCGACATTTTTGAAGAGTCCGAGCAACATAGCTTGTCATACCTGCTGTAATGGAAGATGGTGATCTATAAGTCCTCCCACTCCTAAAAGGAAATGCCCCGGATAATATCACTTTATCAAACTCCATACTTTCTAAATCACTACTTCTGTCTTTGATATCAATTTCGACACCTGTACTGTTGCGTCTGATTGAAAGCACTTCTGTTTGCAACATGACTGTTATTGGCAATGATTCACTGACTTTCTTCCACAGACTTGTGTATCCATCTTTGAAACGTCGAATTTTCCCAGCCATAGATGTTCGAGTGAACTCATGAATATAGGCATATGGCATGTCTTGAACAAATCCATATCCAGAAGCAGTGTAGCCATATGCAACAGATTTTGGAATGGACTTGAATCCGCGGCTTTCAAGAAATGCAGGTGTCATATCAGAAGCAAGATCACTCACAGCATGAATTCCAATTCTACCTGAATCCTTTGCTTTGTCCTGTTAAAATACAAACCTCTCTATAACAACATTTCACTATAACGGCCAAATTCTTGTAGGAACTGATTTTTCATGTTATGTTATATTATAGGCATAACACATAAACAGACGCTCAAACTTAGTCTCATTTAACGAGTAAACTCTCTAACTTTGAACATGCACATCTAGTGATCAAGACACCCCAACTCGTCTCCATTGTGTTAGTTGAACACTTCGACTTGCAAAATGATCATTTAGACACCTCCAAAATTTATGTGCCACATCAGCAGCAGGTGTCCACGAGACATGAGTTGGAGTGTTAAGTTGTCAGTTGAGATCAAGTTGAGGTGTCTAGACGTGCACGCTAAAAGTTTAAGGCTTCCTAGGCTAGCTGAAGCCAAGTTTGAGTGTCTGTTTATTATGTATTCTTTTAACAACATTTCGCTACAGCAGACAGAATAAATCTACGTTATAGAGTGGTTTGACTGTAGTTTAAACAAGATGAACTGACCTGGAGTTCTAATGTCAGTGATATAACAGATACATAATCATCTGCAACTTTATTGTCCTGATAATTCCCTGTTTGGCTATCAATTAATCCAAGTTTATGTGAGTCTAATTCTACAAGCTCACTTCCTGTTTCTTTTGCCAAATGAAAAATTGTTGGAGCACTATTTGCTGCAAGAACTTGACCTCCGAGATCATAAACTCGTCCTGTTAAAACAAAAGATATGTCACCGCTCGAACCTCAAACTAAAACAACCTACATATAAAACGTGTTTAAACTATATACACAGACAATATATATAATCTTTACACCAGTACTGCAACTTAACCAGCTATAGCAGTTTACTACTCTATTTTACGTTGTCAACGTACACAGGACTAAACTCTATGTACAACATTTGTGTATATACCTTCAAGATCATAATTTTTTCCTGCAACATACAAACGATTCTACATATAACAGAACCTCAAACTAAAACAACCTACATACAAAACGAGTTTATAGGGATTTGTACACTGTCAGTGCACAGAACATAAACTCTATATATGATGTTTGTGTATACCTCAAACATCAACAGATACACATATACCACCAACCGAGTGATGTTTCTCGATGACTGTCACACTGTCACGTTGAAAGTATAAAGAATTTATACACTAGTACTGCAATTTAACCGGCTATAGCAAGTTTACTACTCTATCTTACGTTGTCAGTGCACATAACATGAACTCTATATGCAATTTAACCGCCTATAGCAAGTTTACTACTCTATATTACGCTGTCAGTGCACATAACATGAACTCTATATGCAATTTAACCTGCTATAGCAAGTTTACTACTCTATATTATGCTGTCAGTGCACATAACATGAACTCTATATAAGACTTTTTTGTGTACCTTCAATATCAACAGATTCACACATGCCACCGACTGAGTGATGTTTTTCGATTACTGTCACATTGTTGTAGCCAAGATTACACAATGCATAAGCTGCTGATATTCCACTTGGACCTGCTCCTACTATGGCTATTCTTGTGTTCACTGGAAAACATGGATGTATCTTTGAAAATTTATCTTCAATTGATTTTTGATCATACATTGCACTTTTCGCCATCTGCTGAAACAGAATACTAAAAACTTTAGCCTATAACTTCAACTTCCATTATGGTCTAATGAAAACAAAGGGAACTCAAGAAGATGTAAATGTTGAATTTTGATGATCAAAGTGAGAGATAATACGAGCCTGCATTATTATTACTTTAAGTAGGAAAATGGACCAAAATACCCTTGAACTATTCGTAATAGAACTATTCCATCCGTTTCGTTTTTGGCTCAAAAATGCCTTCCCCACAAGCCAAATGGCTCAAAAAGGGACAATTTTTCCATTGAACTATTTGATATGAGACAATAGCCTTGAAGAATTTTCATACTAACACGGCAAATATAAACCGGCTATAGCTCATTACACTGTCAGTGCACGAATCATAAACTCTACATATACTAAGAATTCTAGCCCTTCAACTTCAAGAAGATGTAAATATTGAATTTTGATGATCATAGTGAGAAATATTACAAGTGTATCATTATTATTACTTTATGTAATTAAGGAAAATGACCAAAATACCCCTGAACTATTTGTAACAGAACAACTCTCCCATACACTTCATTTTTTGAACAAAAATACCTTTCAACAAGTCAAATAGCTCAAAAATACCCTTCCCGTTAAATATCCCACCAGAACAAGGGAAAAAGTCAGTTTTGCCCTTGAACTATTCTAACTAAGACAATATCTTTGAAGAATTTTCATACTAACAACTGTCAGTACATTAATAAGATAACCCTACATTTATAAAGAATTTTAGCATCTAACTTCAACTTCCATTATAGTCCAAGTTTCAAATGAAAACTTTAAAAAATAAAAAAAATTAAGATGTAAACTTGAATTTTGATGATGTTATTATTTTTAAAGTATAAAGAATATGCTGAATATTTCTATGATCAAAACTACATATGGCACAAAGAAAAGAACAGAACTTGTTGATAAAAAAAAAACATTTAATTGATTAAAACAATAGTCTACTTGCCAATGTAAAACCAATATATAAATAAATCTCAAAATAAAAGAAGAAACAAACAAAGAGAAAAGTCTCTTCTCAACAAGACATTGTTCAAAAAATAGAATCAACATAATATTCTTCTATTTGTCACTTGTTAAGTATTTTATTTGGCATTTTTTTTTTGAGTTTCATGCATAAATTATTATATATACGGGTTTTTAATCTGAACTGTCACTAACTAATCATCAAAACACGGCTCGACTATGTAGCAATTGTTCCATTTTCCAATCTATCTGAACTATCACCATTATATAGGCAGGAAAAAGGAACAATCGATAGTTGTGATATGTTTTGATAAATAATTGATGATAGTTCAAATAAAAAATTCAATTACATATATGAAACTGAAAAAAATCGAGATATTTAAGTGTGTGTTTGACCCCTCACTCATATTTAATTGATAAACACGACATTACATCAAAAATGATTTTTAACGTCAATAGCTTAATTGTCAATTAAATATGTACTTTTAGCGGCACTTAACACTTTTTGTATATGTCTCTAAAGCCTTTAGCGACACTGAATCAAATGACTCTTAATAAATATCGGTAAAGACTTTACCACTCTTTATTAATGTATCTATTTATGCAACCAACGTTACTGCATTACGGTAGACGAACTACAAATCACGCTACTTAAGGTGCGACTCAACCTTTTTTATACCCTGCTAACGAGTGATGCTTTCAGTACAACAAATAAAAGATTTAGCGATAAAAAATAAATATGAATATTTATAACCAATACTTTATATAAATATTGATAAAGACTTCAGCTAATCTGAATACAATGACATTAACTTAAACACCACTAAATATTTTTGAAAAATATGTTATACCTACTCTAATTATATTATGCATGTGATGATGATTAACACATGAAACATAAACAATGAACTAATTTAAAAACACAACACAAGAAAAAGAAAACAATACCAAAAAAATTACAACTAACCCACAATTTAATTATTTTTTTCAAACTTAACTTGAAAATGAAAGGTGATGTGAGCAAAAAATTAAACCAAATCATGAAGCATCTATAATAACTAAATAATTACACATATTGATCATTTAAATGACAAATGGCAAAAAAAATTAAAACAAAATATATATAATTAATAAAAATCAAACCTTTTGACAACTTTTAATTCAACTTGAGAGTATATATTTTTAGAAACACAAAAGAGATGTTTTCTTAATTTCACAATGGTAACAAAGTGTA